TTGGGCCTGGTTCCGGAATGAATCCTTCATGAATCTTCGGGGACAGATAAGGTGCATTGAGCGGCGTGATAGGGAATGATGCATCCTTGAGCGCCAAATAGCTCAAGTCGAGACGCTCGTGGTATGTGAGCAGCGTGTCAATGTCGACGAATGGTGCTCCAAGCTTCGACTCTCCTTTCCTGGACTTCTCTTTGATCACTGAGCCTGCCACCCATGGCAAAGTCTCAGCCACTTGGCGCAGGCCATCCCTCAAAGTTGCATACACTCGTGGATCTGTTGATGGAAAGCAGAATATTTGACCAACAGGCGTGCGTGGCATCAATTGATCAATAGGAGATAAATATTGCCAATTCATAGTGTCCATAATGTGTTCTGTGCTTGCCATTCTTACACAGCTTTGAGGGTATCTTTACTCAATTACAAAAAAAAACTGGGGAAGGTGGGTTGAACAAGTGCTCAGCTCGGTCGCGACCTCCTACGGCGGGGAACCCTCCCTTATATGGCTGCAAGGTGCTCACTCCTGGTGGACGTGGCGTAGGTCAGCTCCGTGTGAAGGGATGTTTTCTGATCCAATTCGCTAGGGTTCAGGAAAGGAAGTTGCCGGCCCGTTTGCACTCATATTGACTGGGTCATTCCACTATAATTATGTGTTGAAAACGCGTGGTATTCTCTATGCGTTGATCATTATTAAAATATGGTCTATCTAGTCTCTCCTTTCATTGAACACCACCAAGCTGTCGAATCTAAAGACACTGCATTGATGATAATTACATTATTGTCTATTTCACTCGCATCTTACAGCTCCACTGCTCCCAGAGAACCTGATTCTGGCTGGCTTGCGCAAAGAAAGTAGAGCTCGCGAGCAAGATTGAAGTACAGCACTCCCAACAATACTGTCCACACCGCGGTTAAGACCTTTAAGACCGGCACTGTCCAACGCGGAAAGTATGACGTGCAAGGAAGTTCTGGGGTGGGAACATCCTTGAGAATATCTGGCGAGGGACTCCGGGCCTCTCGCTCACTTGGGAGCTGGCAGAATTTCGCCTCAAAAACATAGAAGCGGAAAAGCCATCGCCATTGTAGGTAACATTCAAAGGTCTCCCACATGATTGGAAGTACGGCCCACACCCCGAAATATGCAAATGCCTGATCCCAAACATGTACGAAGTAATAGACGTTCATGTAGCACGACAGCACTGTCGTGACTGTCAAGCTCGCCACACTGAGTGCGAAGTACTTATACAGCACTTCACGACTAAGGTACTTCTTCCCAACACGCAGGAGAAACACACCTGAGCTAGCAGCTACACCACCTGTGGCAGCACCGAAAAAGACGAACATCATCAAGCTTCGACATACTAGGGCATCAGCAGATGTGAAGGATGAGAAGCAGGTTCGGATCCATAGCAACAAGGCCGGCCCCATGCAGTGGTGTAAGACTGACAAGACGTCTTGTCTGTAGATGATCAGATCGAATAGGTAGGCTCCGGTCATGATGGAACTTCATTCAACTGTCAGCGGTCACTGTATTGAGACATCTTATATGATCTTATGACTAACGAAGCAATCAATGCATCCCGGGTATACGCGGGAGTCCAACTCTCAGCCGGGGAAAAGGCCGTAGCGACCGCCGGTAAGGTGAAGTAAATGAGGCCGATGCGGACGGGGATGCACGCGATCTCGACGCACATGCGATCTCGCAAATTCTGAGAAAATTGATGCCATTTTGGTAGATTGTTCTCAAACCAGTCATGAGTTGCTCTGTACAAGAGACCTGTGATGATAAAGGCGAAGGAGGCGATCTGAATATCGATCTCAAAGCTCAGTCCCGCCGCCATTGCTGAGGCTTAAGTGAAAGACAGTATGCACAGAGAAAGCAGCGGGATGTAAGACTGAAAGCGAGTTGGTAAGAGTTAGGGAGAGTACGAGGATCTGAAATACAAGTGAGAAGGAACGGATGCTATGCTCCAAGAACATGATAGACAGTGCAAATACACTAACATCATTACGACGGCTGTTTCCGGTAACTCACAACATAGGCGTGGATCTCCATATGGAGATGCCATTTCCAAAGCAAACGGCTGGTACACAATTGTCAATGGTAGGAGATGTCTTGGCTTGGATGAGGCGGTCCAATCATCGGTGATGACGGTCGCGGGAGGTAACGGCTCGGATTGGTGAGACATGGCGAACTTGTCAGCGAAGTACCTCAGCCCCCACAGAGACATGCTCCTCAGGTACATATGTGACAAATTGAAAGCTTATCTCCCTGAACCCTTGCGCCGCTGATGCTGATCCTAACCAGGGATGAGACCTCTTCGTTCCATATTCATTTAAGTCTATGTGTGCAAAATGCAACCCAACTACCGATTGGCGATCACTCTCTCTTTTTCGGCCCGCACGCCCCTGGTCGAGACCTGGATAAGCTTACTTCGTCTATCTAGCAGAGGAGGAATTGCATCCTGGTACATAGATCCTCACCGGTTACACAGCACATACAGGATACATGAATATTGATGCAAGGGAGTGGGCTATTCCAGTAAACCGACCAGTCTACTTACGAATTAGCTTCTGATATTTGCCAGAATGATGGCTGCGTGATGAGACAGGTGCCTCATCCGTTGGCAGTTTTCCGGTAGGTGCCTGCCGGATCTTTCGCTCGCATAACCGGCGTTGAACGCCTTCTTCAAGCTCGCCGAGCTTGTAGTCAACTTCGCCGTTCTGACACCTTTAGGGCCACCTGCCTCGGGGTAGCTGCCACTTTCAGATGTGGCTCTAAAACATAAGCAATAAACGCCGCCCCTTTTATCCAACTCGCAGCTGCCAATCTTGGCTGATCAGCCTCCCACTATCAACCTCGAAGCTTCGAGTTGCAATTAAAATGATATGTCAAACTGTTCTGTAGATTTGGTATTTGATTTGCAGTTGTTGTTCAACCCGGTGAACGAACGAGTTCGTGATCGTCTCTTCAACGTGAACACTAATCACAATGTCTCACACCGGTGTGGGAGATAGAAGTCCGTCACGATCTCTACGCATTCTTGCCTGTAGGATTATGATGGGGGGCTGTCGAGATGACCAGCCATGTGCTGTCTCAAGGTGTAACGTTAACGGAGGATCCGAGCCGGTTTGACCTGCCGCCAGCGTTGCAATTAGTGAGACTTCTTATCAAACATGAGATTCCTCCCAAGTGGCGTGGAGCTAACGAATAAGTATGACAACGCCTTCAACAACCGTAGTCCTTGTCTACTGAAGTGGGTGTTAGCTGAAGTGGGTACAGGATACCAAGTCTTGGTATGAAAATTCCATGAATGTAGCTGACTCCCAGTCTGAGCATAAGTATTGTACCCCTTGTCACACTAGCATTTGCTATCACAATACGATAGCCATTTCTCAGTGCATCAAGTCCTAGGGTACACCGTTTGAGGTAGACTCATCCTCCTTTAATCCCTTGTCCAAGTACTAGATCCTGAGGCAAGACCTCATCTATCATCAGTATAAGCACAATTCTACACACAATCATTCAACCTTCTTCTGAATCATTGAAGAAATTTCTTAGTCTTAGAATTCGACAAACTTTACAAGCATCACAATCAACAATGAATTATTTGACACATAATGCTAAAACTACCTTGGCCGATGACTTTGTCGTCGTCGGCATCTTTGCAGCGATGACTACTGTCATTCGCACAATGGCAAGGCGTCATTTTGAGCGAACAATGCCTGATTGGCAAAAGCTCCAAGAAGACATCAAAAGCCGCTTGGCTGTTGAAGTGGCTGTGATTCCCTCTCGCATCGTTCTCTTCTATCTCACACTTCCTACAATGTTGAAGGGGTTTGAGCCGATGGAGAAATGGACGGCAGAGGATACAAAGACTTCTTTGCTCTCATGGTAATTGATCTCATCAGCTGCGAAGCATGTGCTGTTGTATTGACGAACTTGGCAGTTCTATCTTGACTGGAGCCTACATAATAGACCTCACCGTCACTCGTAATGACAAAGGCTCCACACTCCATCATTGCATGGGCCCGGCTCTTCTCTTTTGGATTCGCACCTGCTTTTCAACGTTCACTTCAGATGATGCTTTGCTCTCGCGTCTGTTGATGCAATTTGTCTTTTTTGGTGCAACCATATCAGGCGCCACCACCACAACGCTGGTTTTTCTTTATCAGTTCCGAAAAACCTGGTTCAAATCCGCAGAGCTGAGCAACGCCTACTTTTACTTCACACTCTTGCTCCCGGTGTTGACAATGTCCACCATTGCTAGCACTTTCTGGTGCACTTCTTACCTCCATCACTGGTTCGATGAATTATTTGCGTATTTTGGTCACTGGGGCTACCTGCCTCTTGGGTGGGTCTTGCTCGAGTGTGGCATGCAATGGAAATGGCTCTTGTGGTTCTTCAACTTCGAAGTCTGGTACCGCACTGGCACCTTGGCTGACAAAGATCTCCCCGCTGAATCAAAGGCCAAACTGGAGCAGACTCACGCTCGCGCTTGGTGGCTACCAGCGTGGAGATTCTGGGGCATCAATGCGCTCATTGCTGCCTGGGGGGCGATGGTAATGATGGTAATCTGGCGATCAGGTGACATCCAGGCCCTTGGGAGCAAGATAAACTCTTGGTATCTGCAAACTCGCGATCCAGGCTTGGAGGTCTTCCTGAATAAGTCAGGCATTCAACTTGAGGAGCATGCTGAGCTGTGAGTGGATGGAGTTTTGTTGTATATAGCAAAAGCTGCTGGAATAAGCATGGTGCACCATACTAGTTTGAAATCTCCTATCACCTCCAGCTAATCCATACATTCACATGATTATTCGCATGGTTTTCCATATTAAATGGCCCCTTATTGTCACTATGTCGAGATATAACAGCGTCAATTCGAGATCATATTACAAGGGCACTGGAATCATGGCTAAGGAAGTCTGGATATGAGATGACTGGGATCTTGATCCTAGGAAGAAACAACGCCAGAAATATCCGTGATCGCCCAAACACTTGATCATACCTTGACGCTCCATTCGACATTCTCATATCCAGCTCGTCTACGGATCCGTACACCCTGGGTATTTGCCAGCTTCTTCGTCGCGCTTGGCGCTGCGTCTACAGGAAGCTTGATGTGACCACCATTGGCAGCTTCAAAGTCCAAAGCCATAGTCATCAATGCGCCCACAGCTAGAATCTCCATCTTCGCTAAATGGCGACCGGGGCATAGATGAACGCCGCCGCCATAGGGTACAAAGCCTTGGTTGCGTGCTTGGCCTTTGCTGTCGGCACCAGCGCCGCCTGGCATGAACCGCCAAGGGTTGAACGCCATGGCATCGTCTCCCCAAATGGTCTCACGATTGTGCAACAAGAATGTGGGTATGGAGACTCGCTGATCCTTGCGCATGAAAACGTCCACTCCCGTTGTAGGATCTGTGAAAAGGGTGTCCTCAAGCACGGCGCGATTGCAAGTCGGAGTGCTACCAATTCGCAGCGCCTCCTGGTAGCATGCAAACAGCAGTGGAGTTTTCTCTTGGGCGTGTGAAATATCAAGCTGTATCCGCTTACGGCCAGATTCACCATCCTCAAGAGTGGTTGCAATCGCTTTGATCTCCTCTCGCAAATCCTTGAGAAGCTGGGGTTGAGCGAGAATACCAAACATCATAGATACAGCAGTTGGCACCGTATTCACAGTGGCGACTGAGATGTTGAAGATCTCCAATCGAGAATAATCCTCAATACCGATGCCAAGTTTCTGGATCATCTCAACTGTGGAGAGAACTGCGGGGCTAGCCAGCTTGTAATTTCCAGAATTGAAATAATCGACAAAAGCAGCTGAAAGACGCTTCATGGCTTTCAATCCTGCGGGAGCAACTAGCCACTGAAGGAAATTCCAGCTCAACCGCAATTGATTGTCATCAAAAACCCTGAAATGCAAGTCAGTATACATAAATCTATGCCCCCGAAAACGAACCAACTTACCAGATGTCCTCAATCAAGGACTCGTCAAGTGCGACAGGGTTCTTGGGCCCATAAAGACCTTGGACGGTACCGTATGTGATAGCATCTCGAAGCCACATAAAGAGATCGGCTTTGATCCACTCAGTGGTAATCTTGTTGATGCCATCAGCCACGATGTTTGATGCAGTTTGGCTTGGCTCTATAAGCCCTGGGCCAGAGGCTAGATGCTTGCTAAAGGTAACTCTACGTTCACCAATGGCATGGGACCCGATCCATTGGTCATTGGGACCAAGGCCCAGGAGCCTGTTAGCCTCTTTGCTGAGACCCAACATTCTCCCTGCCACGAGGGAACTGAGTGGCTCTAGAGACAACGATTTGGATCTCAAAGCTGCATGCGACAAAGCTGGCGTAGTTACGACATATGTCTTGTACTTCAAAAACGTCATCGTATACGCTGGCCATGTTGTTTGTTTTCTGTGTGGAGTTAGTATGCTTCTGCAAAATTGGAAGAAAATCAGAACTCACCGAAGAACATCAAGATAATTAACACCATGATTGTAAAGGCCAACCAAATGACCGATTAATGGGATGTTGGACTTGGCAATCGGTGGTTCTTTCCCCTCTACAGTCACTCCAATGGAGTAGAACCATAGAAAGAGAGCAGCAATAGTCCCGACAAAAAAAGTTGCAAACCCATGATCGAGGGGAATGCTTGTGAGAGAAAGCAGGGTGGTGGAAATCGCCATTCTTGATAGCTGCAATGTGCGTCTTGGGAAACAGACTGTTGTGTTGTATGATGGGAAGGGAAAGGGGGGGCCTTGAGAGTAGTCTAGCAGTCAAGCCAAGAAGCAAGCAAGCAGCTAGCTATCAAGGTTTGTTGAGCCAGACTTGCGCAATATGTTGTGAGGTTTGCAAGCTGTTTGCCAACCAATGTTATCAAACGCGAGATATCAGACCCGACGGGGTTGGTCTGATGCAGTAAGGCGTAATGCAGTTCTGATTGACCAATTGATAGGTCTCCGAATTCCAGCGATGCCTCCATTAGATTGTGAAGGAAGTGGCGCCAAGTAAGATCTGACTCATCTTCCAAGACTTCTCCCGTTTGAGTGGTTCTCGCGTCGTACGGCAGGGAGGAGCATTGGACAAGCTCCTGTTTCCGTGTCTCCGCCTTGACATCTTGACGCCTCCCTTGATATGTGACTTGTCATCACGGTTCCATCCGACGCTGATCGTCATCGCAATCGAGAAGCTTATCATGGACAATAACAATATCAATCAAGCCAAGACGCAAGTCGGACTCGGCAATGCAACGTCGGGGCAGGCAAGAAGGAGGCTGATACACTAGCAAAGCCTAACAACACGGCGGCTTCTGCCACGCACGCGGGTGCGTTCCTTGGCTGCATGCTTAGCTCTGGCTGATATGCTGTGTCAGCGCTTCCCGTCCCTCCCTTGTCTTACTCTTGGTGTGGAATCGGTGGCGCCCTTCTTGTGGGTGGAGCCCGTGGGATGTCCCATGCATGCATATAAGCAGCTCGGAGCGTATGCACTTATCCACTTACACCAGGTATGCCCGATATTGGCATGCATCTATCATCTCCCACAGCTTGGACCCCCTGGATCATCTTCGTCCTAGACACCTGCCATCCTGGGGTTTTCGCTATCAATTGTCTTAGAAGATCACCCTTGTGCTGATCCTTGGCAATTTGTTACGAATGAGGCAAGAAGGCTATTGTTGGATTGTCTGCAGCCTTTCTCCCATTTCGAATTGTCTTTTTCCTTGCTGAAGAAGACTTTCGCTCTTTGTTTCTGTGAGTCGTGCTAGTGACTGAGATTTTGCACTTCATTCGCATTACGCAGCAGAGATATGGGTGCTGCAAGCCTTGCAACCGCGTCCGTTGTTGGCGCGGTGCTGTTTTACTCCAAGCTGTCTGGTAGCTCTTACCCATCCCTACTCCTCTACCTTGGAGCTGCCTCTCTGGCCGAGATCGCCGTGTATGTGGTCTACCACAGCCTAGTCTATCGCTGGTTCTTCTCTGCTACCAAGAGTCTTCCTCATCCGAAGGCAAGTTTTAGATAAATCTTCTTCTAATAAAACTATAAGTCTAATTCATACAGAACACCCCGTTTGTCTTGGGCAATCTGGTTCCTTTCTTAGCCGAGCCATGGGGATTCCCCTTGGCTCGATGGCAGAAGGCCATCCCCACCACCAAGAGCGGATTCTACCGAGTATTCTTGGGACCTTTTGATTATCTTATACCCAAGAGTTCCCAGGCTGTGACTGCGGTAATGAGCCAGCCATACGTGTTTGAGAAGCCAGCTGCTGTTCGTGATGGCCTCGTCGTGAGTCTTGGAGTTGGTCTGGTAGCAGCTGAAGGAGATCAACATCGAGTACGTACCTACAGCTTCAGAATTGTTCATGTTCACTAACATCCACCCAGAAACAGAAGAAGCTTCTAACTCCCATCTTTGGTCTTAGTCGCAACCGCCGTCTAGTTCCTCAGATGTGGGCTAAAGCACAAGTCTTCGGCCAGAAGCTGGAAGAGATGGTAAAAGAAGCTGGTGGCCCGACGGTCATCCTTGTTCATCCTCTCACTATGGCTGCTACTCTAGACGTCATTGGCTCGACTACTCTCGGCACTGACTTTGACTCGATCAGGTATCCTGATCAGCCAATCCTCCAAGCCTACCAAAAAGTCTTTCCATCTCTTGAGAATCAAAATGCCTTTGAGAGATTCGTCGGTGCCACTCTTCCTGCCATCATCTCCCCTCATGTGCTTTTCAAAGTTCCTCTGAGACCTATTCGCGAATTCCACCAGGGCATGGCAATGTTGAAGGAGTACTGCACCAACCAAATCCGACTGAAGAAGAAGGAGATTGATGCTGGCGGTGCTGATGATGTGGAGCTTAGAGAGAAAGGTAATGCATCCCATCGTGGATCCAGTTGTATGCTGACAATGTCAACCTAGATATTCTATCCGCTATCATCGCATCTGGTTTAACGGACGAGAACGAGCTTCTCAGTCACCTATTGACTATTCTTGCCGCCGGGTAAGGTGCTTCGCTGACTGGCTTCTGACTTTTGGCTAACCTATAATGTACATAGCCACGAGTCCACCGCAATCACTTTGGCTTGGGCTCTGTTCAAGCTCGCTCAAAACCAGGATGTCCAAGAAAAGCTCCGTGCCGAAATCCGGGAATCCCTGCCTCACATGGCCTCGGAAGTTCCGACACTAGATGAGATCAACGGCATGAAGTACCTTCGCTGCTTCCTCATGGAAGTCTTCCGCCTGTACCCTGCCTTCCCTTCCATGATGCGCGAAGCAGCTCGTCCGACTACTGTCGGCGATTTGCAGATTCCCAAAGGCAAGCACATCATGGTCAGCCCTTATGCGGTCAACAGGTCCCCCGAGCTGTGGGGCAATGATGCCGATGAATTCCGCGTCGAACGGTGGGAGGAGTCGTACAATGGCGGGGCCAAGACTTCGCAGGCGTTCTTGACCTTCTCCAGTGGCCCACGTATCTGCATTGGCAAGGACTTTGCCACTATTAGCTTGAAGGTATTTCTGGTGGTTCTTGTATCCAAGTTTAAGTTTGAGGAAGCGATACCAGGGTATCACCCTCCAATCCAGAAAGGCACTTCGTTGAAACCTCAAGGGTTGAAGATCAAAGTCGGTATGTTGTAGTAGAGCAGATTAACAACAATCACGGATAGTACTTGATATCTATTTGCTATTTACAATATTGTTCCTCTTGGTATATCAAAAATTTAAATAAATGTGCTGCTAGAGGACGAAACTATGGTTTCAAAAAGGGCAAAATTCTCTATTGTCTATCGTTGTCTATTCTATAAATCAAATCTGCTTTTCCGATTCCTTCCTTGGAGTTAATGCCACCTTTGTGCCATCGCCAGTCGAAAGTGTTATGGACCACCTCTCTACCCATGGGCCAGCACTTCTGCTCTCCAATGAATCAAATTCCTGGAGAGTTCTGGCCAAAATATATGTCATCTCTGCCAGCGCATACATTTGTCCCATGCACACCCGCGCGCCAGCACTGAAGGGAAGATACTCCCAGCGAACGCGTAGATCGTCCCATCGCTCCGGTCGGAATTCATTCGCATCCTTGCCATAGATGTCTTCGCGGCGGTGTAAGCTGTAGGTCGAAAAACTCACCAGTGTCCCACGCGGCACCAACACAGGAGCCTTCCCGTCCGGACCACCGCCTCGAGGAAGCGTAGTGTCCTGATTAGCTGAACGAAACAAGACGGGCACTGGTGGGTAGAAACGCATGGCTAATGATGGCAGTTAGTACTTGTTGAGGTAGGATAATGGGACAAATACTCACTTTCGTCAATAACATGCTTGTGATATGTGAGTTGCTTCAAGTCATCATACGATGGGATCCTCCCATTTAACATCTTGACCTCAGCTTGGAGTTTCTCCCATACATCTGGTCGACGAGCAAGAACATAGAACAAGCTGCTGAGGGTGTCTGCTGCGGTATCTCGACCCGCAAGAATTAGTCCTACGATTTCGGACCGAACTTTCTCAAGATCATCTGTCGCTTCGAGCAAGTCGTCCAGGAAAGTCCCCCTTTCCGTGTCATTGAAGTGGCTAGATTTCTCTGCCACTTTGCTGTCGCGGGCTTTGAGAACAAGATGATCCACGTAGTCATGGACTTCTTTGCAAGCCCGCTCCAATTCTGGGTCTCTGTAGAAACGCAGGAAGGGGCCCTTGGCTGCCATCCTTGTCATTCGCGTTTGAGCCTCCTCGAGTGACTTTGCGAATTCTCGTGGCTTAGACCCGGGCTCACTCAGGAGACTTCCGATATGCTCATTCAACATGAAATCCAAGATGTTGTCAAGAGTCAGGGACGCAAAGAGTGGTTGTAGATCTACAGTAGACCCATCCTTTGGGATGCAAGCGAAGAAGTTCTTGATGTGAACCTCAAGGCTTTCAAGGCTTGTTATCCGTTCCTTGACTAGGTGAGGTCGGACCAAAGTCTAGGAGAACATTAGTTGGTTGATTCACGAGCTGTGAGTATTGCATGCCTACCCTCCCATGTTTCCAGACTGCACCATCGGATGTGAGGATGCTATCTCCAAGCAGTGGCCCGAAGATCATCTTCTTGCCACTGTTGAAATGCTCTACCTGGGTAGATAGAAGAGCCTTGATATTCTCGGCCTCGATGGTAGAAATGAAGTACTGGCCAACGATAGTCCCTGAGAAGGTATTGCCTAGCTCGCGGAATCGACGCTGCGTTGTTTCCATTGTTCGCCTCTGATAGCCCATTGCCATGTCCTCCTTGTAGAGGCCATAGCCGATGATGCGCTCCCGCTGAGGGATTCTGGCCGGTGGTTTACAGCCATTTGCATTGGCAAACTGCCTCAACCTCCAGAGCCTGATGCCCTTGGAGATAATCCAATATGCCACAAGACCTACCAGGGCTAGAGTGACTGTCGAGTACATCTTTCGGAGTTAACCTAGGAAGCTGTGTGTAAGCTTGCAGGGAGCGACGGATTACTTTACGATGCAACTTACACTCTGTACAAGACTATTTTCTTAATGCACCGGAAATGAACGAAACGAATCCGTGGGCCAGGCCTCGTTCTAATCTTGGTATGCTTACAGATATTGATGGCAAAGTTTGGTACTGATGCAAGGTAAAGTGCAATTAGTGGAGGAATGGATCTGCATGGTAGGCTTTTGAGGTTGCATCGGTACACAAGGGCGATGAGTGTGCCCATGTCAGCACTATAAGCATACAAGCATCATCCTCGCTCGAACACTCCATCAGAGAATTTCCCATGCAGTGGACAGCGTATCGGTTGGTGCGTATAGATGCTTATCGATGATTACGCAGTTATTTGAGATAGGCGAGCCGTCCGAATGTGCATCCATCCGAAGGATCTCGGACTTCAGCCGGCGGGCTGTGGTGCGGTGCTGCGTCGTGTTAGTGGCCGGGATATCGGGAGTCAAGATAAACTCGTGCATATCGGCCGTCTTGTTGCATTTATCGCAATAACTTCATAACTGCATACTCGGATGCTGCACTCGTCCTCCGGCAGCCAACAGCGCAACCGCCACCCTAACAGGCAAAGACGCTCGCGCCTCTCCCGTTCCAACAGGCGCGCTGAGTCGTTGTCTTGCCGCAGGATAGGCAAGTATCCGCACTGAAGCAAGCCCCCCAATTCTGACCGCTGTTCCCACTCCTGTTTCTCTCTTTCCATCCTCTTCACATTCTCGAGACGTCTTGTCTTGTCTTACAGCACTCTTGTCTCTTGTCTCCTGTGACCTCACCCAGTCGCGTCACGGCCGTTTGAATTCGAACGGTGGCTGATTTCGTCTTCTAACATTCGCAAGAGATAACTTTGCATTGCATCACGCCAGCGCCAGCCTCCTGCTTCCCTCCTTCGATTCGCTTCGACTTGAGTTGTGTTTGTTGAGACGCTAGTTGTTAATTGTACGACTGTCAATATGAGCTACAATGCTACCAATCCACCTCCGGGCATCGATCCCGATACCTGGAACAAGCTGCTTCACATCAGAGAAGGCTGCTATCCGCATCTTGTGCCCGGCGTCAGAACAGACTATGGCTACCGCCCGACATTGGCGGCAGGTATTGTCTTCTGTGCCCTCTTTGGCATAGCTTTGATTGGGCACACTATTCAGATCGGCCGGTTCAGAAGATGGACGTCCGTTCTGTTTGCCATCGGCGCAACGAGTATGTCACTACTTTCGTTTCCTTTGATGCCATCAAGTTGGGATGTGTCTTTTCGGTCGTTATCGACCCAATGATGGCCATAGTCAAATGCAGTAGAACCGTCAACTAATGAGTGACTCTCCCTCTCAGCCGAAGCCATAGGGTGGGCCGGACGCACCTGGTCAGCCAAGTGCCCCTACAACCACGATGCCTTCCTGATGCAGATCACGACGCTCATCATCGCGCCGACCTTCTTCGCCGCGGGCCTGTACGTGCTGCTCGGCACGCTGATCACGCAGCTGGGCCGTGAGACGAGCGCCCTGTCGCCGGCCATGTACGCCATCGTCTTCTGCACGTGCGACGTGATCTCGCTCGTCGTGCAGGCCGTGGGCGGCGCCCTCGCCTCCAACGAGTCCGGCAAGATTGACGGCAACACCAAGCCCGGCACCAACATCATGGTCGCCGGCATCGCCTTCCAGCTCGCCACCATGACGCTCTTCGCCGGCCTCGTGCTGGATTTCCTGCGCCGCGTCCGAAGGCGCGTGCTGCCCCGCGCGGTGAAGCTCGTGCTGCTTGCTCTGGCTGTGTCGTTTGTCATGATTTACATTCGCAGCATCTACCGAACGGTCGAGCTGGCTCAGGGCTGGACCGGCTATCTGATTGAGAGGGAGGGCTTCTTCATCGGACTGGACGCCGCGCTCATGTTTGTAGCTGTTGGCGTCTTCCTTATCTTCGACCCTGCCTCTTTGCTGCGTCGCCAGCCAGTTCCGCAGTCAACGGATAGTGCGCCTTCTGGAGACGAGGGCAAAGCATCCGCTACGAGGTCATCTGATTAGCTTAAATATGTCAATAGAACGTAGGGATGGGGTCTGTCTTAAAACAAGATTGAATGTAGGAGATAAGACAAGACGGTGTTGTATTTAAGATATTGCTCCTTTATACTTGCTTTGGTCTTTCAAAAGCGGGTCATAGTCATAGTCATGGTCCAATTTAGTCTTCAATTGCATTCTGCCAATTTCCCCACGACACTACAATATCTATCGAACCATGTCTATAGAACCTCAAAAGACCCAATTCTTACACATTAAGTGTTGATGCCGGCTTCTGCGGCTCCATATTTATAGTCACAGCACTAGAAGCCCCAGATTCTGCAGCGGGTAGGTCATCCGTAAGAGGGTTAGTCGAGTTGACTTCACGGACTTGTCCCTTGTTCGGAAGCGACCCTCGGTCTGTGATGCCCCCTTTGAGCCTTGGCCAGGGCAGCACAGTTGAGAATAAGAAGGCCAGAGCCGCCCAGACATTGGCGAGAATCAATCCAGTCCGGATTGCCCTGCTGAATGCAATGATTACTCCAAGTTGGGCGACTGGTGAGAGCGGCAGGGTGACCGCTCGTTGCCCACTCAAAATAGCCCCTAGCTCTTCTGGCGTCAACGACGGAACGCCCATGAGCTCTTTACGTAAGGAATGGGTGAAGATAGCTGTAGCCATCTGTACTGCCACGGCCCTGAAAAGACGTTAGTAATTCTCACTCATAGGTAAATGAATGAGTAGTACTCACGCGCCGACTTGTTGTATCATTCTTGTATAACCTAAAGACGTGGCAAGCTGGTGCTTATCAAGGGCTGCACGTGGATAAATGATCTCTGATAGCCAGCTCATGCCCACGCCGAAGCCAGCTATAGCCTCGTAGCCAACAATCTGCGGGATGCTGAAGAACCTCGTCAAATTGACGAATAGCGTAGCTGCTACCAGTAACATGGCACAGCCCACAAGCCCGAAAGGGTTGAAGTAGGGGACAAGTGTAGAGACAATTGAGAATATGAATGTGCCCAGAGCCAACGTGCCTGCCAGTGGAAATGTGAGAAATCCACTGGTCCTCGGTGAAACACCATTGACTTTCTAAGCGATGTTAGCAGAACGATAATCGAATTATTCGGTCTTATCATGGTCGAAGATAGACATACCTGAAGGAGGAAAGGAAGAAACAATATCAGTACAGCTACACAAGATAGGGCTGACAGGAATAGACCAGCAGTAGACCACACGCTTCTGTTCAACATAATCTTTCGATCGAAAATTGGCTCCGGGGCCCTCATTTGCTGTATGATGAGAAGAATGAAAGAAACTCCGCTGATTGCAAACATAGCAGGAAATCGCCCGCCAGACCAATTATCAGTCTGGCCGAGCTGTATTCCCAAAATGAAGGGTGTCAAAGTCAGAATGAGAAGACTCGTTCCGAGCCAGTCGAGCGACTTGAGCTTCTCTAGAAATGGCAAGTCATACTTTTGACCACGGAGATCTGGTCCTCCTGCGAGCATGGCAACAAGAACACATATCAGAACAATAGCCAAAACGGGAAGATTAATCCAGAAGATCCATTCCCAGCCGAGAGACTGGGTGATGGCACCTCCCATGATAGGCCCTACAACAATGCTAGAGCCTGGTAAAATTTGTCAATGAGACTAATTGACGCTCGAGATAGACAAATTACTTACCCAGTATGAGGGAGAAGGCACCCATTGACAGATTCTGCTTCTTAGACTCGGGCAGCAGTGCCAATAGACGAAACCCCCCGAGACTAAGGCCAACGGCACCAATGCCAGAGATTGCTCGACCACATATCAGTTGTGGTGAGCTCTGTGCAAGTGCAGATACAAGACAACCAGCTATCACTCGTTAGTCTGACCACCAATGCGAATAGAGTTGAAAGACGTACCAACGAAAATCAAAATAGACGAGATATAAACGCTAGAGAAGGAATACATAGAGTACAGTTTGTTACACGTTGGGTGAAGAACGCATTGTGGCAACAGATATGCAGAGCCATAAGCTCCCATATCATGAAGAGCATGAAACTGAGCCACGATAGTAGGCAGTGCAGGCTCTAGATAGAAGGTCAGAATAAGTCCACATGAGTGTAGTCATGATCACTTACCAACAATTGACTGATCAAGTCCCACCTATTACATCATTGTAAGTTAAAGTCAATTGGCAACATAGTTTCACGATCCTTAGTGCAAGGTTCAACTCACTAGAAAGCCCGCAGCTGCCAACGCAAACGTGATGAGAGCCTTCCTCCATGGCTCCAGGGGTACATCCAAGTCGCATGTCGGTGCGCCTCTCTTGAAGAACCGCGTCCAATTCCGTCCGCTCTTCTCGGGCAAAGGCTCAGCTGCAGACATTGAGTACGAGTAGGGGCTTCTGCTTAACTGACTGCCTCTGTACTCGTTTTGCGCAGTTTTTAAACGATCATACCGGAGGATACTCTGCGTCGACTCGGAGCCAAGATGCTCTCGACTCTCTGGGCGCAGTGATAGCGAGTCGACCTCACGGCCCAGACTTCTTGAGGAGTCATCGCATGGCACTGACGTCCGAGACTCCGTAAAGCCGCTTCGCCTAGGTGACTGCTTGATTGGCGAGTCGAGCGAGATAACATCCATGGTTGCTTTTTGGGTGGGATGGGAGAAAGGTTGCTGCAGGTAAGCATCCGCGGACCAGGGAGTGGTGTAGTGTAGGGTAGGGTTCGTATGCGCGTGTGTGTGCCTTCCAACCTCGCAATATGCTCCCAAGATGAAGCTTGAAGGAGTGATTGAAGATCCAGGACCAGCATTAGGGTATCCAGCAAGGCCTAGACAGATGTCAGACGAGGCGAGAGTCACTTAGGTTCGGATACGACCCCCGCCACTCTTAGACGCAAGCTTGGGCTTGAAGAAAGCTTCCTGCCATGTCTGCTAGTCTGCTAGTCTGCTAGTCTGTCTGCCTGGCACCTGCCACCTGCCATTCGGCACGCCCTCGGTGCTCAGCCCTGATAGGAAGCGACGGCCCTTGTTAAGGAGCCATTGTCTTGCATGACGGAGCAGGTCGCCGGGGCCCGGAATCTGTCGGCTTCCCAAAGCAGAACAATGGAAAAAGCAAATCTTTCTGGATGGAGGAAGGAAGGGATGACGGCATGGTGGAGGGAAGGCGCGAAGGGCACGACATTGCATGTCAGCGCTGCCCAGCCCGGCCTAAGCCTAGCAAACAATCCAACCATGACTAAATGTCCATACCTACCTAGGTAGTGATAGAGGGAGATGGGCTAGAACTCAGCCCTCCAACGTGTCCCATAGCGCCATGCAGCCCAAGGCACCTTCGCAAGGTACGACGAGTCGGGTCAGCGCGTTCGTTCCTTCCCACGCATCGAAACATTCCGGGAAGGAAGGGATCTGCGAGAAGGGGGTGTTTGCTCATTCGTTTTGGGGGGGAGGGTGTGTGGTTAAGGCTCATTAAGGTATGAGGGTAATGAATGAGATGAGATGAAGGAGGGCCGGGGAGAGATTGGCTACGTACGAAGTGCAGCAGAAGATGCACTAACACCTAAGCTGATGCAGACCTCAGAATGCTACCTGTCAGATATGCATCAATCGAGGTCCTGGCCCGTGGGGGCATTGCTATCTCTGATACATGCACTTTAGGGTTAGATGCATCGGCTGCTGGGCACGGCATGCCTAATTGGGTAGGATGATGAGCCGCTAGCAGCCACCAAAAGCCACCCGGGAAAGCCCTAGAGACAGGGAGCGTTGTGCTGTCAGATCGCCTGCCGCTCACTAAAGGGCCAGTCCCGGCGCGAAGTGGATGGGTGTGGATGGCACTAGGACCAGGGGATGCCAGCCACTGCGTCGCACTCGCACCACCAGCTGGCACCGGGGCGCCAGCCAGTTGTTGCCGGGTATTGGCGTGCCGATACGAACCCCCCCTTCAAATGCAGAGGCCCTGAGCTACTGCTCCGTCGAGCCGTCATTATTTTATCTCCCGCAGTTAGCCACATCCAGATGTCACTGGTCTGAGACAGGTACTTCTCCCTCGAGTCGCCCCTATTTTGAGTCTACCTGGGACCATGCACACATCAACTGAAGTGACACCATCTCCACCAACGCCTATCAGATCCTTTCCCCATCCCATCAACCACCATCTCCAGGGGCATTCCTGCATGTGCCGTATGTGGCGCACGGGAATCAATACATTTCTAGTTACGACTCGCTACGTACTTGTGTATGTGTGAATATGTTTGTGTAACGCGCTCGTGAATGAAACCTTCCCGCAAACTCTCCGTCCCCATTGTCTTGACTATCTTGTCTTGCCTCGTCACTCCACCAATCACCGTATTGCGCGCGACTTCAAGCCCAACTCCAGCTCTGCTTCAACCCAGTTCGGATGGATTGGGGAATTTATTGACCGAATGTATGCATCCTCTTGCCTAGAACTGGCAAGATGCGCACTCGCATTAGCCCTGCGATGGTGTTATCAGGGATCACCACACGCGCAGCTCCAGCACGCCTTGCCTTTATTGAATGACACGCTCCGATTCCAGCAACCAGTATCTCACATACCTCACATCCATGTTTAATCTATTCCATTCTATTCCGGGCGGCTTATCTCAGTCAGTCTAGAAGACAAGGCTCGGTAGCCTCTCTTACCTGCATCTACTACTCCCGGATGACCGCCTTCGTGATTGCTCCCGCTGCTATCTAGAGGCTTCGTGTCAGCTTCCTACCGTAACGCCGCCGCATCCACTGCCGGCCGGCAGGCAAACAGACTGACCGACCTTCCATTATCGTTGCGGCATCATGTCTCGCCCATATTTTCGCTTGTCCTTGCCCTATCGGCATCGACATCCGCCTCCGCTTCTCACTCCTGTGACTGACTCACGTCTCTCGTCTGTCTCATTCCAAACCTCTCTGATCGTCCCGGGGCAGCAATCTCCCTGAGACTACTCCAAGACTTCTGCTCTCTTGGCCGCTGTCTTCTTCTTCAGTCCCCCGGCCTCTCCCACGCTCGTAGCGTAGAGGAACAAACCCACGTTGCTCAGTTCCAACTCGTCCCGTCTTGTCCATCCTTTTGTCGGTCTCTGTGTCTATCTTCCAAGAGATGACGACCTCAGCAGCAATGCCCGCCATGTCCTACCAGCAGCTGCCTCTGCCCACGCTCGACCGCCCCTTTGGCGTCGAGCTATGGCCCCTTTTCGACAAGGCCTTCACGGCCGTCATGGGCTATCCGGCCGAGGACTTCAAGTTCACTCCTGGAGAGACCCCTTTGTCGACTCTGAAGGAGTCTTCAACCTTTATCATCTTATATTATGCTGTCATATTTGGAGGTCGAGAGTGGATGAGAGACCGCAAGCCTTTCAAGCTGCAGCCGGTGTTTCTCGTCCATAACCTTTTTCTCACGCTGGTCAGCGGCGGGCTTCTGGCTCTCTTCATTGAGCAGCTACTCCCGACCGTTGTCAGGCATGGCGTCTTCTACGCCATCTGCGATGCCAATGGCGGTTGGACAAAGCCGCTGGTGCTGCTGTATTACGTAGGACAACATCCGCAGCTCAAGGCTTGAGTCAAGTAACACTAACGGCTGCCTTAGCTGAACTATGTGACCAAATACGTCGAGTTGCTGGACACAGTCTTCCTCTTCCTCAAGAAGAAGCCCCTGAGTAAGAACTTTGTATCCCCTGATCGTACCAAAGTCTTGACAGCTAAGGGTGACAAGCCTTCTTACACTGCTACCACCATGGTGCGACTGCATTGCTATGCTACTCCCAGCTAGTCGGCCTCACAGCCGTCTCCTGGGTGCCCATCGTGCTCAACCTGACCGTCCACGTCGTCATGTACTGGTACTACTTCCAGAGCGCCCGCGGCGTGCGCGTCTGGTGGAAAGAATGGGTCACGCGACTGCAGATCATCCAGTTCGTCATTGACCTCGGTAAGTTGATTCAACACCAGGACCTACAACTCGCATTTTACAGAACTAACACGACCGGCAGTGTTTGTGTATTTTGCTTGCTGGACGTACTTCACCAACACGTACTGGCCGTGGTTGCCGAACGCGGGTGAGTGCGCCGGCGAGGAGTTCGCGGCCATTGCGGGCAGTGGCATCCTCAGCTCGTATCTGGTGTTGTTCATCTCGTTCTATTTTGCAACGTATCGCAAGAAGGACAAGGCTGCGGTGCTGAATGGGCCGAAGATCATGCCAGATGAGAAGCTGATTGGTCATGCGAACGGAAACGGTAAGGCGAGCGGGGCGTCAAAGACTAATGGCTCGACGAAAGGGCGCAAGGTGTGAAATGACTTCTCTGTTGTTGCATGTAGAATGTGTGTTGCAGAGCGAGGGCTCATAGTAGGTAATAGCAATGAGAACTTGTTGTCTTCGTCATAGCTTCCTTGGCCAGATGCGACCAGCATAAGCTCCCCATATGCTGAATCGTAATTCGTGAACAGTTTGAGCCACAGCCACTCATGTGTGGTTCTTGCAAGTCAGCAAATATTACAAAATGATTGCAAACCTCCTTTGCGTGCAAATCCTGACTTTTTACAGAGGTGCTGAAGTCACGAGACCAGAGATATCATGCAAAGCGAAGTTTAGCCTAAACTCACCAAGTCGAGAACTCATCTCCCTATTCGTAGCCGGCTCGAAAATAGCCTTTTTGGTCCACTGGCACATATCCAAATTCAACCTCTCCAGTGGCTGAGTCTTCATGCAGTTATCATTGGTTTGCTTGCCGGTAGGAAGAGTTTCACAATTGCCCCTGAGGTTGTTCTAGCCTATAAACAATGCATGCCACTGTCTACAAATCGCCGAACTAGACCCGTGCGGCTTCATCTATAGTTGACCTGGTTTGATTAGAGTCTAGGCAACGATGAATGTCAAAATGATTGAAAAGGCGTTACTATTTTTGTGATGTAGAAGTTGCTGAATCACTATTAGGTCAATAGGCAACAGTTTAGGGTTATGGATAAGTGGTCAAGTGTCGCTCCGCGCAGATTTCTGGATAAGTCGGATACTGGAAAACTTCCATAATCTCAGTCCCTAGTATCAATTGAACATAAATTCAAGATGAAGTTCTCATTCTCCACTTTAGTGTTGTTGTTAGCAACTTTAACTTCCTCAGCTCATCTCATTCCTTTCGGCCTTGACGCTCGACAGAACCGGGATGTCAAGATCCAATCTGTGTCAATGTCAGGCTCAGGCTGCCCGTCCAACACTGCATCTGTTCAGCTTCTAGCAGATCAAAGGACATTTACGGTTATATATGACAAATTCGTCGCTAGTGCCGGACAAGGAACGACAGATGATGATTACCAGAAGCTTTGCGAGCTAAGAGTCCGATTTACACACTATTCGGGCTATGCTTTCAATGTGCTCGGTGTGACGCAGCGCGGCTTCAGTAAGCTACAACGTAGGGATACAGGAGTAGTTGATGTCAACGTTGGGTACTCTGAAGAGGATGAAGAAGTTCGTTTGGTTCTCCAATGTTATCTCCCTTAGGCCCTTCCCACACAAAGCATCATCTTGTGGACACTACGAAGATCATTACTAATGTATACACAACCTAGTTTCGTCGAACGATCCAAATAAATGGGCCAATCAACAATGATTATGTAAAGACGGATAACCTCACGGCCAGCAGTACGCATTGGTCGCCTTGTGGCACTTCGGGAGAGATCATTGTGACTATCGAGATCACTCTGGATGCGCAGGACCCCACGGGCGACTCGCAGCTGGCAGTATGTATTCTTTTTTATTACCGCAATTATAGTGATAGTGACTAACTATTGAGTTTGCAGGTCGACTCCACAGACTTTCAATTTGCGCATCCTCCATCAAATCCAGTCCAGGAGTGTTGATATAACGCAGTAGATAGGAAGAGACAAACATGAGGGCATTTGAAGTTTCTTCGACAGCTGCTCGCTGTCCGTTTGTGATCGTGAATAAGTGGAGAACTAGGATGTTGCATGGTAATAGAATTCGAGATAAGAAAGCGGTGGCCAATGATTTCTTCGAAATAATAACAGTAGACTCAGGCATTGTTGAGCAGATGTTCGTGTTTTCGCTGTTTCTTGCTTCATCAACATGGCGCCGGAGATATGTGAAACCGGCGAGTAAAGTAAAATGCTCTTGTTTCGATCTTGTTAACTAGACTTGAAACACGAATCGTTCTACTATATTCATGGCGCCCACCAGTGCAGGATACGATCTTGCATTTCCTCATTAGGAAATTATTGTGCATGAATACGCGGGCGCTAGTTTTCAGACCCCCTTTTTGCGCGCGCTAACAAACTTGCCAAGCGGATCAACCACGTCGTCAACCCTACTTACGAGTCATTTTTGGCAACTTCCACTGGTTATGCGTATTTCAACATCAAAGCGAAATGTGCGCGGATTAAAGCTAGATCTTATTTACCTCACGTCGGCTCAAGACTGCATGGCCTTTGAACGCCACCTTGTTTGTCTTTGGCTCCTAGTCCCAGCAATGAGCACCCCGGAGAGCACCGACAAGGACAGTAAGCGGCATAGGCGCTCCCATCGGAAATCTCGTCATGGATGCGTAGAATGCAAACAGCGCAAGATCAAGTGTGACGAGACATGGCCTATCTGTCTGAATTGTGTCAAACGGGATGTGCTTTGCAGCTCTCCCTCCCGTCCAGTGAACCATCCCGATACGGCAGCCAACGCAAATGCTAATCGTTCGGAAAATTTGTCGCACACTGCAAGAAGCTACCGACGCGGACTCCGATTTGTTCCATCCGCTTATAACTCTGACTGCCGTGCACCGGATGCCGGCAGGCGTTCCGGTGACCTGACGGCATCCGGCGACCGTCCAGTAACGCCGAGGCGGGTCATCTCGAACTTACAACTTCTGTGTGGCCAACTGAAGCTACCTGAAAGCTCTTCTCACCCGCTATCACCTGAACAATCGTCGTCCGGCCTGTCATATTTTGATCTCGAACTTTGGCATCATTACGTGCTGTTGACTTCGGGTACTGTTGCTGAATGGTCGAATGGCCCGGGGAACCACTTCTGGCGGGTGAAGCTTCCTGAAATGGGCTTCCAACATCCACATATCTTACACCTTCTACTCGGCCTCGGAGCCCTTCATAAAGCCCGTGTCAGTCCAGCACAACGCAGTTCACTACTTGCTCAAGCCGACGCCCATCATGTCATTGGCATGCGTGGTGCGACAGAGATGCTTCGAACTATCAATCTTGTGGACTTCCAGGCAGCATTCGCATCGACTATTCTCATCAGCCTGTTTAGTCTTGGGATGGGACCGCGACAGGGCGAGTACATAGGCTTTAGCGATGGGAATGAGGGCTCCTTTCTCACCTTCCTGCGCGGGGTACGATGTATTAACGAACTTCAACCAATCCGCGAACCTGACGACGGCGATGAAACCGAAAAAAGTCCACATGGTCCATATACTTGTGCGACCACCAAAGATGCCTCATATCTCGCTCACATGCAATATCTGCGCAGTATTGCGACCGCTATTACCGATCCGCTCGATACCGGTTCAGCAGAGGTGTATATCAAAGCTATGGATTCTCTTGAGCCCTTCCTCTCAGCAGCGTTCGAAGAAGGGTCCGGATCGCTGTCAGCTTCAGTCCCATACAGCAACGTTCCATTTGCATGGTTATACCGCTTAACAAAGCCATTTTTGGACCGTCTACAGCGGAAGGTGCCTCTTGCGCTTGCTATTTTTGCTTGTTGGGCTGTGGTTCTTGGCGAACTGGAAACATCATGGATAACGGAAGGATGGCCAGAACATATTGTATGTTCAATGTGCCAATTTCTAGATCCCGAACACAAAGACTTGGTGTCCTGGCCAGTGAAATGGATACGCCAAAAGTCTGACTGCCAGGAGTAAATCTTCTCAACAGAGACTCCGAGCATGGAGGCTTCAGTACAGCCCAATTGATGACGAAATGATACCGTAATATGTACTCAAATTAGCTCGAGTCTCTATCTGATCAGTCCCCTAGACGCCATGTTCCCTCTAATGTGGGCATTTTCTATATACAGCCGCATTTCCTCTCACATCCTTGTACTATCTAAAGAAATATGGCCCTCGGATAGTCGTTTTTGACGACGCATGAGTCGGACTAGTCGTCCCGGATGAACAATTCCGAGCATGGCCATGACGATGAACATTGGAAGCGCGTCAAAGACGTATACGAATGCCTCGTGAGAGATAATAAAGCCGCCCTCTCCTTGGAGATACTCGATCGATCGTACCACGCTCCGCACAATCATGAGAACCGTTACGAACTCGATGACAAAAAAGTACCTTTGCCACTTGACGATTGGGTCGGCCACGAGCGGCCTCGGTGAATTGCGTTGAATGCGCCTAAATGCATGCGAGCATGTGAACATAAAAAGTGCTAGAGCCACAAATTGGGTGATGAGGCCAGCAAGCAAAATGATACGAGCATTTTTGATAGCTTGAGGATCACCAGACGCGGGTAAGATGGAGCCTGCGAACTGGCTCGCAATGCAACCGATGTCGACGAGGACGTAGAGTTTGGTCATCCAACGGATACTGATGACAGAGTCACGTTGAGCATCGAGTGCGGTGATGATTCGTCCGAGACTCATATATACGGTTGCAGCGAGGAAAGGTGTCGCGGAGAGGAGTAGCACATTCTGCATGATGAAAGGTCCAGCCTTCGCAGGCTCATCAGATGCCATGACACGCCCATAGTAACCAAATATTTCAGCTTAGCTTGAAAGTCAGCTGGTCCGGAATCAATGATTGTCGAAGGGACAAAGTAACTCACCAATGCCACCGAGTAGGAAGGGAATAAAGAACCAAGCTCGATACCAGATGAAGTAGACGAAGTGGAGAAGAGTAGCAAGTGTGAATAGTGCGACAAATGAAAATCCTGCTGTCTTATTGGGTCGATATTCGAAGAAAACGATCTGAGTGCCATTGACTATGGGGCCAAATGGCCCATCCTCATCACTTATATTCATGGTAGGTTGAACTTGTATCGATGTCTTGTAGTTGTTGAATTAAAAGAATTGGAAATGTAGTTGATTAAAATGGTGAATGTGTTGGACAAAGAGAATACGACAAGGAAAAATAAACGCGAGCCCTCCCAGTTTACTCGTAGGTCACTCCTGAATATATGCATGTGGACTGAGGGTCACTTTACTATTTAAGAACCAGAGCCAGACCTGCACTGAGCCGCTTGATGCCAAAAAGCGTATTGTCGTATTTCCATTGCCTATTTGAGACGTGGGGCTCGTTACGTAGTCTGCCCTTCTGGTTGGTTCCACATAGGTGCCCGACAGCCATAGCTATCTGAAACCACACGCAAAAAAGGACCGCCCCTGACACTGATATTAGAAGAAATCTTCGTATACACGGTATCTGTAAGTCGTAGTTCCTACTCTCTACTTATTGTGGCGAAGTTATGACAAGTTGGATCTATGCTGTTGACTGATGCCCCTTTTCAAGATACAACAACTCATCCTGAAATCCTCCACGCGGAAAAGATCCGCTCTTAATCTAGACATTTAATAATACGATCATAATGCTATCCAATTCGTATATCCGACTTCACGTAAGCCGCACCCCTGATACACCTTTTCCATAGGAAACCTCCACCTCGTCTTAACGTTGGTATCATTGCCTAAGTCCTAAATGTTTTCGGCCTACTCATTGATAGCTAAGAACAAAGAGTATTTTGCAGGTCGTCTTTGCTTTCTGGTCTTCGGAAAAGTCACTTCCTTTCTTCCTGCGAAAATTAGAATCAAGCAGAGTCCTGAACACCCTATGCAAGATCCTGAGCAACCTGACCCACAGTCGCGGGACCAGTAGTGATGCTATCATAGCCAGCAGAACAGAAATATGCCCATCCCACGTTGTCCGATTTCAAGGTGTTGAGATAGGTGGCGAGAAGACTGGCATCGGCTATAGAACCATCGTAAGCTGCACCGGTGAAGTCGTGGACAATTACAGCAGCCAGAGGCTCGTATCCTGATGGGATATTAGCGCTAATTGTTGTCTGGCTCTGATATTGCGGCGCTCCAACGCAGTTCAGGCAACTCTCAAAGGCGATGACGATGTCACAGATGCTGTAGTACTCGGCAGGGGCTGTAGCACCAAAGTTGCAAATTGTTGTGATAGGGTTGCTGCCAAATGTCGTACGAGCAAAGGTAATAGCTTCGTTGAGGTAGGAGAAGTTATCGGTAGATTCATCGAAGAAGATTCCGTCCACCGCAATGTCTGCTCCTGTATAAGTGCTCCAGTCATGCCATTGAGTGATATTCTTCTTCAGCTCGTCCATCGAAGATGTAGCATAGTTCGTTCGGACATATCCAATTGTTTTAACATTAGAGTAAGCATTAAGTTGTGAGACGCCAGAAATGTAATTAGCATCGTTATCTCCAGGTAGACCAGACAAACCTGGGCCATTGTGTGGATCGACTACGACGCTCCAGGGCACACTAGGGTGTGCGGAGACAGCATCGAAGACAGGCTTCCAATTGGCAGCGCCGTCATTGTAAACTGCAGACGGGTAGACGTACAGGGGTAGAAGCACGCCAGTCGCAGAGGCCGAAGCCACGAAAGCCGACACAAAACCTAGGATCGACGAGGAGTGCATGATTAGAGTTATTGTGGGTTGATGGGGATGGATTTCCAACTCAAATCGCCGTAGGTATGTCTAGGCCAGCGCTTATATAGGGAACGCGTTCTCTTCAAGAACCAAGCTGGAAAAGCTAGACCAATCTCGCCATTTCCATAATGGATCCTACGGCAACACGTTAAGCGCAGGGTAGTGGAGGTTTCGGGGCTAGTTCCTGGGCCTGAAAATAACTTTAGTGGGCCAGAGTTGCTTAGACAGCTTACAACGTTACCTTAACCCCTGATTGACCAACTCCCAGGCATAGCAGCCTGCTAAAATGACCAGTTCTAGCATGCGCATGTTGATATTCAAGTACGAATTCTATTGAACTGGTTCTCCCGTGTATTCCATGCGAAAGACCAAGTGAGTAATACGGCAGAAAATTCAGTTTCCCAGAATTTATCGGAAAGCAACCACGAAACCTAGTTGTTACCGGAGCTTCTGACTTTCTTGTGTCATTCCTATGTGCAACGTGGGATGATGACTGTGCCTTGAAGCCGCAAGTGAGATGCTCAGTGTTTCGTTTCGAGGTGTGTTGCGTGAAGAAGTGAGCCTTTCATTCAGCTTGCAGGGCACAATCCCGGTAGTCCCTTGCTGTGCCGCAAAGGTTTCGTCCCATTTTGAACGTGGTGGACCAAATATTGCCTAGTGAAACCGCGAAGGATGGCTGTGCCGTTAAGATCTTGTTAAAATTACGACTACGCCGCAGAGGTCTTCAATGAAAGAAAACCCTCGTTCGGCGCAGTCGATTGCTGTTCTTCAGGTGCTTAGCGCCAATTGTGAAGTATGAGTCTGATGACAAGAATACAAAGACCGGACATACGAGGAACACTCGAAAAGTTAGGATCTCAATTAAATGGAATATTCAGGAAAGTAGTTGTACACTCAAGCAATGGTTATGGAAGAGTTTAAACACTGTGGGGGGCAATATCAAAAGGCTTTCCTTCGCTATGATCTAGAATTAGGAAGTATGAGAGCTTCTTTTCCATTATGCAACCTTTTGGCATCAAGAATCGTCTAATACTAGACTACAATACCAAGCTTCCTAAAGAGAATGCCATGAATATGGGGAAGGTAGCATCCAGGCGGTGTGTAATGGTGGGTCTACCCATGCGAGGGTGTAAAGTTGAATTTGTAGGGTTAGGATCGGCATTTACGAGTCGAACCGTGACTATGATACTTGATCTAACCAGTAAGCCGCATTATGGAGTTGAAGTGGTTGCATTGTTGCGCTTGTGTCTTATGGCTACCATACATTCCTTAAAGATCCACTACGATATTGAAGGCGAAATAGTGCCATAGAAAGGAGTACGATGACGCGACGTTGCGTTTATTGCTTCCTAGTGGAGGCAATCCTTCTACTAATATATAAGTCACCCAAGAAGGACTGTAGTTCTATCTTTCGTTCTTCCGCAAAAGGTGCTGTTCGACTTTTCAAGAGGAAGGATGATTAAGGCCAACAAAATGATACGGACACTGCAGCAGTAGAGACCAGAAAGAAAATCAACACTGATACCATTCTAATATCAGTTGGATATGAGTTAGTACGCTAGCTGTGCGGCCTCAGTAATGGCTTGAAGGTAGCATATCATGATTCAATGTCATCCCGGGGTAATTGTGCAGGACACGGTGATGCATGGCGTGTAGTCCCTGCCGAGAAGAGTTACAAAAAATATGGCACCATGTGACAAGATTATTGATGTTGAATACTGGAAACTAGCCAGACTATGAATCATCGCGTATAACCGCGGCCAATATATCCAATTTATAGCTAATTTTGAAAGCAAGAGTGAGTTATGTAAAGGCGCCAACCTCCATCGCTAGCTCATAGGTCACACAGATGAAGACAGTTGGAAATGATGGCACGAAAGACTTATCGCAATGATGTACTTCGCGTGTCTTCCATAATACTTGCTAGCTTCTCTATCAGCATCTTGTAAATTACATAGTAACTTATCATGCCTTTGCGGAATCACTAGGCTGCGGTTACACTGAAAATCAAAAGGTGAAGAAATACATTTCCATTATGGCTCCGGTGCTAGGTGAATGGCATATTAATATAATTGGCGAATGATAATTAGTTGATCATCCCCGCTTAATGCGCGGACTATATTCTACCGACACTACATCTGTCATGACTTGCCGTTGTCAAGGCGCAAGCTCAACCATTTTGCCGAGAAAGCGATACAAATATATTAGACAAAACACGTCAAACACTATGGAGATAGTGGCATGCAATCACCTACGGCTAAGGTCTTGGGTGAGGGGCAAATTGAATTTCCTCAACCATATCTCTATTTAGGGAGGGTTCTGCCAGTTTGTGTAAGGTATGTCATCGTTCTTGCCAAAGACGGCTGTACATCTGTGCTTTAAGCATTACGGTCAACATGCGTTTCTTCGCTACTGCAACTAATGTTGCGGCGCTGCTTCTGAGTGCAGGTATGCTAACGATTCACTCAGTCGATGGAGTTCATAATCTAATATCAAGCGTTTCTTCGGATCAGGCCAGGTGCGTGCAGAGGTTCAAGCGTTACCTGTTCCAACTACATGTAGTGGTTCGGGTAATCCTCGATTCTCTTATACCCTCGCATCAGGATGGTCGGTTGTCAAAGTCGCCGGGAATTTGAAGCAGGTGCGAACTATTGTGTGGGATCCCTTGGGACATATGATTGTCTCTCAAGCAACGAAAGGCATCTCAGTGCACACATTCGGCGCGGATGGATGTATCAATAGTACGACCATGCTCGCTGCCAGCGCTCAGCTCAACCATGGTCTTGCAATCACACCGGACGGAAAGACGCTCTACGCTAGTTCAGAACGAACTGCGTATTCTTGGGCTTATGACCCGGTCACGATGAAGGTTAGCAACCAGAAGACCGTCGTCAACGGGATGGACTCTGGAATCCATTCGACCAGAAATCTCATGGTTGTACCGTCGCAACCCAACATGGTGCTCCTGCAGGTGGGCAGCAACGCCAATTTCGACTACGCAGCTGCCGACAAGGCGACTGGTCGTGCGATCATCAAGATATTTGATATGAGTAAGGCTCCTGCAAGCGGGTACAACTATAAGACCGATGGTGAGGTCTTTGGGTACGGTCTACGCAATGAGATCGGCTTCGTCGCGGATCCGAACGGTGTCGTATGGGGTGTAGAGAATAGTGGAGATGTGAGTTGCTTTTCAATTGAATATAGGTTAAAGAAGAATCAAGCTCACATTCATTGCAGGATTTTACCCGAAGCCAAAATGGACGTCAAGTAGATATTCACAAAGATAATCCGGCAGAGAAGCTCAACAACCGTAAATTACTCCAAAACTACATTCACGTTGAATTTCGGGCTAACTTCTAATATAGTTGGTGATCCACTTAAGACTCGGGATGTCTGGTACGGTTATCCGACCTGCTTTTCTGTCTGGGATGCTTCCTCTTTCACGGACAACACGGCACTTAAGACCGGCAGCCACTTTGTGCTCAGTCCTAACAGCACCTTCAATGATGCAAGCTGCAACAGCAAAGCAACAGCACCGCGATTGACCTTCCAAGCCCACAGCGCGCCCATCTGGAACACATTCGATGCGGACGCCAAGAACATGTACGTGACGTTCCACGGATCTTGGGATCGCCAGCCTCCTACAGGCTTCAAGGTTGTGCAGATTCCGTTCACCAAGACCGCGAGCGGTGCATATGACCCGGTTGCCCCCGCGGACAGCATGAAGGGATACAACGACATATTTACTGCGAGCAATCCGTCATCTTGCACCGCAAATGGTCTGACGCAGAGCAATTGCGTGAGGCTCACAGCGGCATCCTGGGATCCTGCTGGACGAGGTTTGTTTGTGGGCAGTGATAACAGCGCGGAAGGAGAGATTTATCTTCTCACACAGAAGTCTTAGACGCTTGATCATCCTATCAATGTAGAATCTTTGAACCCAGCCCAATCTACGATATCATTTGGCACAATTTCGAACTCGTAGTTTACCTGAATCTTCTCAAAATCCTGGATTTCAACCTGAATTTCCCAGAACAATCGTTGCAATTACTATCTTTGTTACAATAGCAATATTTAGATGTATATAGTCGTTCTTTTGACTGCACTTTGGAAGAGAAATTAAAAAGTGATAGGAAAAATGTTGATTCAGTATCCTGGTCATCACTAGATCTCTCATCTGATGTCTATGTCACGAAGTGGTGCAGACTTGCTCGTGTCGGGATTGAAATATTGCCTCAGGGGCTGTTTCACTGTTTCTGTGCTGGCCCCATTCCAAGCACGCTGCCTGATGTGATATCGCACGTCAGTACGGTGGGTATCTTGCACGTCGCCATGATGGCTTGGTTTCAGCAACTCTCCGCGCATCATCCCATGAATGTAGCAGTCGCCGACGAGGGTCAGCGGAGCACCGGCTTGCCCTGGCCGCATGACGAATGGAGTGCTCGCCCCAGGAATGATAGCGATGAGGTCTCCAGCCTCGCACTCCTTAGGAAACAGACCCATATAACCGCAGGCGGTTGTTCCGAAGCGGTAGCCCTGGCTTGCATTGAGGACTGCAGTCTGGAAGGGCCAGACAGCTGAGCGCGTGGCGGCATCGAGACCGCGTGGCGGCCACCAGGCGTTGTCGAAGGGGTCAGGCCGCGACTTACACCAGGCTTCGTGGGCGAGACGTTCACCGTCTGGGTCGTCGGGGCGCAACCACCCACGGCCAGCCGCCAGGGTTCGCCACACGGCGGAGCGGGTGCTTTCACGCGTCGGGTACGATGACAGCAGCATCAAAGCCATCTGCTCCGCGTGCGCCACAATGGCACCAAAGGCTCGCTCGCGGTCCGGTTCGAACGGCAGCGGTGGCAATAGCGCGTCTTTCTCTAGTCGCCACATCTTGTTGCGGGTTTCTTTTAGCGATTCCAGGTCTCTCACGAGATTTAGTCGTTGCAAGTCGAGCTTGTGTAGCAACACGTGAGCCGCGTCAACGAATGCGCCCCGAACTCGCAGACAACCGTCGGAAAGCAACTGTAGGTGCGAGACAGTGTCACGGGTGCAGCGGTATTGTGACGAGCGCAGCGGCTGGCGGGACTTCGTGGACCAGTCGGGAACCCAGGACGGGAGGTTGTTCAGGCGCTGAGGCAGACCAGCATGGTCCAGGACATCTATGTCTCGTCCTGCTTTGACATAGAATGTTGCGATGTCCTGATACAATTTTGGAGCCAGATTACTTGAGGAGTAGTTAGGCTCGACGTCCATGCATTCAGTATCATCTGCTAGTGAGAGGAGGGAATAAACTTTGTCCCGGTCGTCTGTCGCATCAGCCGAGCGGTTCTTCACCAAGAGGTCGAGGAGGCTATGTGAAATGCGCCGCCGGCCAGCCAGCACAAAACCCAAATTTCCTGGCTGGTGTATCAAATTCTTCCCAGTTTCACTCCCCTCTTTCCGGCTTTTCAATTCGCCAAACACATTGAGCTGGTTCCAGTTCACAATTCCATCTTTCCAATCGGCAACCAATCCGTGCTTCAGTGCCATCGGCGGGTCGTGCCGTGTAGCCAGCCCCCAGAACCGGGTCAATGTCTCCAGTCCGTTGACAGCAGACCCGAAAAAAACGATTACATTTTTGGCCAGCGCAACTTCCTGTAAGACCCAGCTGCGCGAAAACCAGGGCTGCGAGCACAAGTGCAACAACGGTATCCACACCCTGAGTCCGTCGATGGTCTGCGAGTCTGGGATCTGCATCTGAGTCCAGTCGCTCTCGGGTCGAATCTGGTGGTTTCGATGTTCAGGGGCTTCTTCCTCGCCCCATATCGCGTTGAGCTGCAGCATGAGCGCGAACCCAGCCTGATCTGTATCGGGCGCTCTGTTCACTTTGGCGTCCGGCGCAAGCGCCTCGCCAAGATATGCTGCCGTCGACTGCGCCTTGCCGTAGATGGCTCCCATAAGCTTTACCTGTGCAGCTCGCTCGGATAGGTCTTCCTGGTTGATACATATTCCATCGGCCCAGAGGACGAGGTCAGGTCTCCAATTAAAGATGCGCTTGAGAGCATAGTCGAGGCTAGTCGTAATGTTTAACGTCTGCTTATTGCAGGTGATTTCTAGCCTCTGGTTTGCATCACCCCAACAGTAAGAGACTGCCATGAAACTAGGGGCTTTGTTCAGCGGATACGGTGTCAAGCTGAGATGGAGACCATCTGGTCCCGGTGGTTTTGCAAGGCGGAGTAAGCGTATCTCGGGCTCAGTCGATTTTAAGGGCTCGTATAAAAAGGGTCCCTTGAAAACAGGACTCATTAGGGTCGAAAGGATGGCATCCGTGTCCGAGTTGCCTGAGTCTGTCGTATCGAATACTAATTTTTCCTCATCTACGTATGGGGACCCCGTTTCTAGCAACTCCTTGTCTTGCGACTCCCCTAGAATATCTCCCAAAGTAACTGGTAGGGGGGACTCAAAAGAAATTTGAATACCGGGCCACTTCCTATCTCTTTCTTCGTATGATCACTTGGGAGAAGTTCAACTTCGAAGTTGTTTTTAGATATTATATCTTGCAACTTGGTATCGGATATGCCTGGGTTATTTGCCCGGACGAGAGACTCTATGAGTATCTGTTTAGAAGAACCTTTGTTTCCCTGAAAGACCTTGTTGACTGAGACCTGTTGTATGGCGACGTGAGTTTCCTTCCATTAACCCACGCAACACAGAAAGCCTGCCATTTGAAAGAATAAGTACCTGAAAATCATTAGACATCGTGAATTTTAACTGCTCAACCAATTCATCTATTGAATCCTCTGAATATTCGGAGTAGCCTTCCAATGATTGTAGGGTCTCTTTGTTCGGGGGGCGGCTTCGAGGCTGGATGTGAACCGAGGGCTTCTGCCTATTACCTGACCCTGGAGTGGTTTCACCGGTGCTGCCCAACAGCTCCGGCGTCGCCTTGTCATCTGCAGTATGGACTGACTCTCCCATTTTTCATTAAGTCTGCTTCTCAAAAAACAAAAAAAGGGGTTCCTTATCACGACCTATGTAACTGATCGGTCCTGTTTTCACACAACTAAGCAGTGTGTAGGTGCTTGCGCAAGTGGCAGCCTGAATGTGAAGTGATTATTACTGAGATGGTGGATCCGAAACTGAGATGTTTGATTGGAGGAGGTGATGGATCACATGTGCTGCATGGATGAACGAGAAATCAACGAGTACAACACGACACGAATGCCACAGACTCAATGGATTTGTTCAAGTGTGAAACAATTTCCTTTTTCCTGTTCTCTTCGATCGCTCCGCGCGCTTCTCATAGCGTGTTGGTGTTCGTGACCACCACCGGAAACCAGAACTTGGTACTGTATTAACTCAATAGCACCTCAATGCACGGACCTATTGGTACCCAGGTCTTTTTTTGCACCATATGCTGAGAAGCACACCAGCCAACGAGAATTGCTTGTTGTAACCCTTGAGATTGGGAAGTTTCAGGTGCTGGTCTCAGAACGAGCGGGAGTCGGCAACATGGAACAGCATATATCAAGTCACCGACCTCCACCTCCGCGGGCTCTACGCAGAAGCTCCCAGCACTTGTCGTAAATCCTTTCCATCCGTCTATTTGCTCTCTCAAAGTTCGGTGGTACAATTTCTTGCGGATTTTACTTATGTCTTTTTGAGATGAGCTAGCTTGCAGACACTCAAGATATTGCCGGAAATAATCATGATACTCTGGCCCAGCTGGCTGGTCATTGAGGTCAAGACTAAAAATTAAAGTCATGGCAATCACGCGAAGCCATGACTCCTCCGATACATCTCGTGATATCATTTGTCTTCGATTCAATATAGATCTGAAAGTCATCTTCTGGTCGGCTATAGAAGATGAGCAGAAGACGGGACAAGTAACATCAACGATACTGAAGATCTTGGCTTGAAGATGGAGTTGGTCGGGTGAAACAATCTGGGGGAATCCTAGCAGAGGACCACCCACGTCCCATTGCCAGCTGTCACACACAGGAAAAGGATCAGAGAAAGAATGATGTCTGAAATCCGGAATCCAGGTCGGTAAGTCCACCGAACGACTCCGGCAGATGCCGCCGAGTGCTAGAAGATCAAGAGACTTCCCGTAACAGAGCAGAGCCTCGGCTATCTTTCTATAAACTTGGTCCACTGATGTAGCCTGTGTATAGTCCGGTCCAGGCAACGCTCTATTATGATCTGCAATTCACGAAAAGCAAAGACCATGTCTCTCTTGTCCGTTACTAAGCATTTGAACGCAGTTTGAAGCAAAACTTCGTACCGAACACCACCAGCCTCTTGAAATTCCTCGAGAATAGTAAACATTCTTGAGGCACTCCATAATCTGAGAATAGCGGGGTGATCACCATCATAATCGACGCATTTTCCCATTTCCATATGGCATATACGCTCGCCATAAGGACGTGAAGACTGATCATATCGTTGCCGCAAGACATCAAACCCATTTCATTCAGAGTGACTTCTTGAATCACCCAAACGCGGCGAAACCAAGGACGACTCAACAACAGGAAGACCCTGTCTAGTCCAGATAGATCGCATCCATTCTTTCTCTCTTGTTCCCAACCATCTGGCCAGGCAAGTGACTGCTTGCTTTGAAGGAACGCATTGCTAGTCTCTGCGGTGCTAGCCCCAAGCCAAACAAGAACATTTCCCGCTGATGAGAAGATTTTGCACATTTGACGTACTTAAGAAGCTTTCTCTTGAGGATCTTGCTGGCTGATGCAAATTGAATTTATCCATAGAGTGAATCGCTCCTGGTTCTGTTGCAATGAGGCGAACAAATCCGACAAAGTCCTGCTCAGTGGAAATGTGTGGCCGTCAGAGAGCTCGAGCTTTCCCACGGGCGTCGCGTCTTCCCAGGCATACGACACGGCTGTATATTGTTCTTCACAGAGACTCAAAGTGACGATCTTAAAATTGCAGAGGATGCTGCGAGTTTGAGGCTCGACACGGCACTCCAAAAGCCGTATATAATTATCTTGTCGAAGAGGTGGAACGATCCGATCCATGATTGATAAGCCCTGGGTGATAGATGTTTCTACAAAATGGGCAATCTGGCGCTAATTACTATTCTCTGAGATGGAGTATACCATATATAGCAGGATGATAACGTTCAAAGATAGGAAGTGTCGTTAAATCTTTCTCAGCCTCAAAAAGCAGTGTTTGTTCAGTAATACATGTAGCACAGGACACCCCACGAAACCATATTAAAGGTGTCTCTGGCGGCAATTTCCCTCCCGGGAGCCGATTGGCCCATGATCGCTACGAAACGAAGATCCCTGGCTACCATGCCCAATTGACGTCGTGGCCAACTTCCAAGTTTTGACAGTGATTGTATTTTGACTTCTCTCTTGTGACTCCTAAGATTAAGAAGTCATTTCTCTCCCTTTTTGATTTTCTTGTCATGAGATTACGACCACCTTTCAGAGTCCGGATTCAAAGCGCACAGTCAATGCGCGTCGAATGCTGTTAGCTAAGCCTTGCACGATTTCATGCCGTCAATACACTTGCCTCAAAAAAGCAAATGATGGCAGATCCAGAGGCACATCCCCAGGAGTCTCCCCGGGTCCAGCAGACGTTAGATTGGGAGGTGCTCACTCGTCCGCCCAAGCGCTCTCTTCTGAATAGACTTTTGCCAGCATCAAGTACAGCGGCACCAAGCAAGGAGGCGAATGACACTTCTAGAGGCAACGCCACATTCCAAATTGCGCACTCTACATCGACAAGTCGCTTCAGCAATTTCAGAACATCATTTCAAGCACACTTCGATCGTTTTCTACCACCGAATAAGCGCTACCTGGGCCGCACACGACGCGTTTTCCTGCTGTTCATTGCGCTCCCTGTAATCCTTATTTTAATCCTAGCGCTCGCTCTTGGACTCGGGCTGGGCTTGCGCCATCACTCTTCATCAGAGAATATGCCTCTGCCCGGCTCGGGCGTCCAAACCGGCGATCTCACCTACTACACGCCGGCACAAGGCGCGTGTGGCTTCACCAATGATGAGAACGACATGGTCGTCGCCATTGCGCACAAGCTTTTTGACGCGGCAGGCAATGGCGATGCCAATCCGAACAACAACCCTCTGTGCGGGCGCAAAATCCGCGTCGAGCGCGACTTTGTCGAGACCAATGCCGGACGGCGCAGTGTAGACGTGACCGTCGTGGACCGCTGCACCGGCTGTGAGCCGACGGATTTGGATTTGAGTCCTGCGGTATTCAAGAAGTTGGCCTTGGAGTCTGAAGGTCGCGTCCAGGGCAGTTGGGCTTGGCTTTGATGCAATGGAACTAATCAATGCGGTCTATCTTACCGCACTCGACTTGACGAAACAAGGGTACTTTCTACGGTGAAGTGTCTTTGATGTGCAGACCTCATGAGATGTGCCACCTAAAAAGCCATTCTATTACGGACGGACGGTATATCGTACTTTGGTCTGGCACTCCAAAACCGGGGCCATTAAACGATCGGCTCGGACCCCGCCGATTCAGCCACTCGCCGTCGGCATCCAGGAGCCGGCGAACCACCCCGGAGGATTCTCTTAAATGTGTCTCGCGTATCTTATAGCTCCACGCGCCACAACCCAACTTTCCATATCAAACATACCCAGTCTTGACCTCGTTCCAATAGTGTGCTCCGTCTGTTGTCATACTCAAATCCCAGCGTTATAATTCTTCAATCATTTTATACGAAATGGCGCCACCAACTTCCTGCCGGCTGGGCATCCTCGTCCCTTCGTCAAACACTGCCCTCGAGCCATTAACCACGGCCATGCTCTCTAGTCTCTCTCCACAGGTCACAGTGCACTTTTCCCGCTTTGAAGTGACGCGCATCTCTCTGGACCCATCGGCCCTGTCACAATTCGAGACGAACGGGCCGATACTTTCGGCAGCGCGCCTGCTCGCGGATGCACACGTCGACGTGATCGGCTGGTCAGGCACATCCGGGGGCTGGCTGGGCTTTGACGAGGACGAGCGTCTCTGCGCCGCCATCACCGCTGCGACTGGCATCCCCGCGACCACGTCCACACTTGCGCTGAACCATGCGCTAGACCTCCTCAGCGCAAAGAGTTTTGCTCTTGTCACGCCATACCTGGATGACGTACAGGAGCGCATTCTAGCCACGTACGATGCAGCTGGCTACAAGGTGGTGGCCGAGAGCCATCTTCGGCGATCAGAGAATGTGAAGTTTGCAGAGATTGATGAGGACATGCTAGATGGCCAGGTGGCTGACGTGATCGCGAAGGGAGAGGGGAAGGTGCAGGCTATCTCGACATTTTGCACTAATCTGAGGGCTGCGCACAGGGTAGAGAAGTGGGAGACTGAGTACGGCGTGCCGGTGCTCGACACAGTAGCTACGGTAGTCTGGGAAATGCTCCGAATGAAAGGAGTAGACACAAGAGCGATCAAGCGATGGGGTAAGATTTTCGAGCTATGAGTGTCGAATAAATTCTAATCATATATCTATTCATGGTACTATAATTTGATACATGCAGCTCTTTGCAGATTGAGCCCTTGTCACTATCACGCCTTTCTTTCTGTCTCTGAACCCACGGTTGGCGTCATGAATCTGTTGGGCTCCTCGCCCAGAATCATTCTGTCCCTAATGTAGCTCGGCTGAGCGTCGTCGTCGGGGAAGAAGCCCTCTGTGGACACCATGGTCTCCCAAGCATGAGTCTCGTCCTCGTGCTCACCATCTGGATATATCTTTGGCGGAAAAATCAGATTCAGCAAGTAGTACACGAGCGCCGCGGCAGTGAGTGACAAAACGAAACCGCAATTGTATACGTTGACAGCCGTTTGGCTAATAGATCCCGGTTTGATGGCGCCAGAAATCCCGGAAATGACCAGGACGACCCCAGACACCCACGCCGCGTAGGCCCTGAGGTTGACGCCTTTGGTGTAGTAGTACGGTGAGCCTGGCTCAGGTCTGTACAGAGAGGGAATATGGAAGTTGCCTTTGCGAACCACCCAGTAGTCAACCATCATGCAGGCGATAATAGGGGTGATGAAGCACAGATAAGATCCCAGAAACGTGAGGAAGTTCTGAGCCGAATTGACCAGGAGCCAGGGGACGACTGCCCAGATCAAGAGATTACACAAGATCTGTCCTCTGACAATGGTGAAATAGCCAGGGAAGAGTCCAGCCAAATCGCAACCAATGGGAATGGCGTTGCTGGAGATGTTCGTGACGACAGTTGCAAAAGCCTGAATGAAAGCACCTAGAAAAACGGCCGTTCTGGTACCTGGTCCCCAGTACGAGTCCAAGATGAGGCTATACAGATCCCAGAGGTTCCAATTGGCGACGCCAAATCTCTTCGCACCTGCAGCCGTTGTAAAAAGGCCAATCAAAATCACCATCGGTTTGCTGATGAAGAGTCCCCCCATCAGTGGCCAGACGTCCTTGGGTCGGTTGGCATACCGCGCCAGATCGGCAATATTCACCATAGGTGGTACCACGCCGCTCACAACGGTGTTGATAGCCCGCATGAAGGACCATCCAAGATCCCCTCCTGTGACCGTCTTCTTGCCGAGATCCAAGTTCACGCCTTTGAATTTAGCGAGAGCCCAGATCATAGTAACAAGGTAGGCCGTTGGTGATAGGAAAGATTTGACCACAAACAAGGGTCCGGCTTTGCTGGGGTGAAGCCATGCAGAGGGCAATTGCAGCAGCCAGGTCAGAAAGAATGCCACCATTCCTGACGTCGTGATTCCAGCAGACTCAGGTAAGTGATTCGGTATATCCGTCCACTTGTGGCCGAATATACAACGAAGTGCGACGTTCATAAAACGGCTGGCGTAATAGGTCTGCGTACCCTCGTAGAAAATCGCAACAGCCATGCGGATAAAGATGAAAAACATCGAACCCCAGATACCTGCAGCAGCCCGCACATATACCGGGAATCCGACATGATACCAGGCTGGGCCCCTCGAGTTGAAGAATAGAACGACACAGCAGAGAAATGTTCCAACGAAGGACGCCACTATAATAGTGTACCAATTGAGCCCGATCGCGTATAGTGAAGATCCGATATTATACGTAGTGGGCGAGAATGCAATGCTGAATTGAAAGGCAAAGAAATACCATCCGGACCAGTTTCGTTGTTGCGGCGCCGTGGGCTCGAGATCAACATTTGACAATCGACCATAGGATTTCTCGCTGCCGTCTGGCTCTCTAGTCTCCTGGACTTTAATGGCGCGAGCCATTCTAGAGGTAAGTCCAGATGCCATCACAAGTGTGTCTTGTTCCTCTGTATTCTATTTATAGTCAATCAATTGTCACTAGATAAACGCAGATCTCGCAGATACTTACATGAAATGGACAACTCTCTGCTTTCGGACTTAAGAACAACACCTGCACGGCTCTTCATGCACGTTCCAAATACGTCAGTACGTGTGAAAAGGTATTATTTAGAGAAGCTCTCACCGCGGTCTGGACCTTTGGAAACAGGTCTCCAACGGCGTGTATATAAGGGATCGGCGAAGCGACCCTTGGCATCGGTAGAAGTCGACCCGGTTGTGTGGGTTGAGATCGTAAACCCGCACATGTTCGACGACGGCCAACAGGCCGACGGCAAACAGGCCTTCAGCATTTCACCAATCACGTCTCAAGAAAAGTGGTCAAAATGTAGCCGATCATGGATGATAAGCCGGCGGATGAGGCCGAAGGTGAGATCCAGATAAGGGTGGGCTCCAGTTGCCCGCAAGGTGGAGAGATCTGCAGACTTGGCAGGGCGAAGAGCCAACAATTTGCGTGATAAGAGGATCCTACGCTTTTCCATTCTAACACTACCAAAATGGTTGAGATCTCAGGATTCATAATCATTTTGACAAATCTCAAAGGCTCGTCCGGGAGTTTTCAGCAGCATTTAACAGCGCAATCTACCAAGAGAACGTGGTTCGAAGGAACATGAGAAGCTGTGTTGCATCGCCGTCTATTAATTTCACCATCACATAGGTTGCAAAATCTTATCATGTGAAGATGAATTGGAACCACACGATATCGTTTATCATGAGCGGCATAGAACGTCAGCAAACCGAAAGCGTCTAGCAGATTGAGGCTATTGTTTCAGTCGAGTATATTGTTCGTCGCCATTGTCTTCGTGATATCAGAGTGTCAGATGCACTCGGCCATTGGATCCTTCAATTTGCCGTGCTTAGTCTTTGAGTATCAATGAAATAGAGTAAGTTGGCTCTCACTTCGGGGACGAAGGATGATCCTGTAGCTTATGAAGCTATTCCACATTGCAAGTTGTTAGCAAGGCCGTTAATCTTGTGCCTATGGACTCAGGGACTCACTCTTCATGTGTAGTATCAGAGATCTCTCACATCATGACGAAACCCCACGGAGAAACGACTTCACTATGATCAGAGAGAGGCGCCTCGGACGCTAGATTCGCGGCTTCAGAGTCAAGAGGCCGAAGATGACAATCCCTGGGAATAAGGTCTCCAGCATTTTATACCCGAGAGGAAGTCCATTGAGACGGAATAGCAGGGCCAGCTGCTGGCCGACAGTAATGTTTTAAGCAATAGCCCGACACGCACAGAACGAAGGATTCATGGCTTTGGGTCGCAGCTTCAATTCTCGTCGGCAAGTCGTCATGGTGGAAAACCAAGATGTAATATCAAGCAAAAGTTGTCTGAAAGGACTAATGTGCGAAAGGGCTCACTTCCCGACTCAACGTATAGTCACGTTTTCGATACCAGAAAAATGAGAGCGATTCCAATTACCCTCCCGCACTGCATGCTCTCTTTGTGAAGAAATGTGAAATATCTCTGATCATTGTGATGATATCCCTGGATAAAATTCCAGCGCAGCGGGACCTGCGTATGTCCCCGCTCCAGACATTCGCGGGGCTGATTTCAAGCGAGTAATTCAACCGGTCCACACTACAGAGGTGCTGGATGCTACCCAAGAGAGGTTTGAGCCGGAAGGATCAAAAGTCACACCGATCAACTGATCTGATCGTCGATGTATCACCCGCTCTGTGGTGCTTCGGGTTCCAGAAATGCACTTACGTTCCGGCGGCGCAGCACTCGGCGCCGACTGAAATGGGGCCGGTCATTCTCCCATTTGATTCACTTCTCACTCACTAGGTTCACTAACATGCCAGCGGAGAAACATCTTCACGTGTCTTCATCTCAGGCCTTCATCTTCTAGCGCGAAGCGTGTGCAAACTTGGAACCCCTGACTTCGTACACTCGTTCCAATCCTCCCTGTAACTCTATCGAAGTTCCTGCAGTTCCGCAGCCTCAGATCCCACAACATAGGCTTGGAGATCTCCGCAAGCCACCAATCGGCCCTACTCTCCGCGAATGAGACGTTCCGTGAAAGTAGCCATCAGTTGATTTAGTGCGATGAAGTGAGGTCACACTGGAGGAGCACGGCCAAGACGACACTCTTCGGCTCAGTGCCTAAGTCAACGACAAAAGCTCACTACTGATGCACGTTATGTAACGTTATACATCATGTAGGTGTATAAATATTCTACGATCAACGCATCTTCGTTCAGAGGTGATGTAGATGTCCACGACTGAGCTCAGTCAAAGAATGACCTGATTGTCTCCTAGTCTTACAAATTCCGCTAATCATGATGCCGATTATGCCAGTTATCTTGAGCTTGGTAGCACTTAGCCATGTTGCAGCGGCAGCACGGCTTCCTCAAGTCCTGGCTGCCAGAGCCATAGTGCAGGGCTGGTCTCTCCAGGCTGCAACCTGCCCACAGGACACAATTTCTTGTGGGTCTGGTGCATGTTGCCCTTCCGGCATGAATTGCCAAGCAACTGGCAACGGCGAAGTCCCAGCTTGTTGTCCTACCAGTAAGTCCAATCTTGCAGGATTCTCGGGGTTCAAAATGCAATATCCTCAAGATGCTCGATCCGACTAAACGTTTATAGCAAGCAATTGCCGGGGCTCTGTTGAAGGTAACCCTGTATGCGCAAACTCCGCGTGGTCGCTTTGGAAGGGCAGTTACGGCAACGGCTTTTGTTGTGAAGTTGGCTTGACTGGTGCTTTTACGAATGGTGGTAGTGTTGCGGGAACATGTGTGACCTCTGTTCCAGCAACCTTGTCCACTGCTGTACTTGTGCGTAGACCTGAAACACAAGCTTGGGCATGGGTGCTGTCATGACTGCAAAATGGCTTACGAAAAGGACAACGATAGGTGACGCAGGGAACAGCAACAGCAACATCGACTACTAAGGCAGCCTCTACAACGTCTGTGACATCGACTATTAGGTCGACTTCGACTATCAAATCAAGCACATCAAGTGTTCAGACTACGCAGCCTACTGGAACAACGGGGAAACCCGTGTAAGTTGTTTTCAGCCATCAAAACTACACAAAATAATTGACCATTTTAGCTTTGCGCACTACATGGTAAGAGTTCACTTGAAGATTCATTGAATTGTAACTGAGCAGATATGAAAAGATCGGCACCATCACAAATGACCATTGCCAGCAGGATATCGTTGATGCTAAAAACTTAGGCCTAGACGCATTTGCGTTGAACTACAGTGGGTTGCAAAATAAAAACTATACACCGAGCCAGAGATGAGCTAATTCTCTTTATCATATCAGACCAATTCGCTTCGTGGTCGAATACAACAGTTGATTACTTATTTAATAACGCCGATAGCTTAGGCTTCAAGTTGTTTTTCTCGTTTGATATGAGCACCGGGTACTTCAATGACCCGAACCAGTTTGCAGGTTACGTTCAACAGTATATGAACAGGGCTTCATATTACAAATACCAAGGTAAGCTTCAAAGCAGATTTGTGCGGTTCAAGACGGGCTTTTGCTAAGTCTAATATTGAAGGCAAGACCGTTGTTTCAACATTTGGCGTAAGTCATGACCACTTGTGTATAGTTTGTGTTAATCTAACAGGTAAATTCTCTAGGGAGAGTCCGTTACTACGAGTCAGTGGAATTCGTTCAAGTCTACTGTCGGTAATGTTTTGGTCATTCCCGGGTTCTACCAGGCGACCCCGTCGACCTCGTTCTTTTCCAGTTATCCAGCTTTGGTATGTTATGCCTATTGCCATATTCATTCTTCGGTCCATGCTGACTAATGGACCTGATCGAAGGACGGAATTTTCAATTGGAACTCGTGGGCAACTGAGTCTCAAGGCCGCATTGTTGTGCCAGTAACAGATGACCAGACTTTTCAGCAAGCGGCTAAAAGCGCTAGCAAACTTTTCATGATGGGAATGTCCCCGTTACAGTTCAAGCACATCGATAGTGGGCAGAACTGGTACCTACGTGGCGAGCAGAACCTCGAATACCGCTTTGGTCAAGTCTTGAGTTTACAACCGGATATGCTCGAAATTCAAACCTGGAATGATGCTGGTGAATCTCATTACGTAGGAAACAGCTGGCCAGAGCCAATTGCTGGAACCCCAATCCTGGACTATACTTCCAATTATGATCACAAAGGTTACTGGCAGATTCTCGCATCCTTTATCCAGGCTTGGAAACGCGGAGACACGACCACCAGCAATATAGTTCCAACAAATGGGGCAGTTGCCCAGGGAACATTCTGGCATCATACTCAACTCGTCAACGCCAATTGCGCTCC